AACTGACAAGAACAGACAACAACCAGAGATTGACAGACATGGCAACACCACCAAGAACTCAGACCACAGATAGCAGAGTCCAGAACAGAACAAAATTACAACAACGAATACAAAGGAGCTGGCAGGTCAACCAAAGAACAAAATAATAACAATGTCAAAGAAGGGGGAAATATAGGAACAGAGATCCAGGTGGTGATGAGGTCAGGAAGGTTGTAGGATACAACAGATTGCCTTAAATGGAGGGAAAAGTTAACAGACTATAGGGTAACCCCAAAGAAAGTTACTACTTCACAACTTACCATGAAAATGAAGATCCAAGCAAAACAAGGAAACATAAAACTAAGAAGAAACTGACATGAAATAGCACAAATAACATGAACTCAGCACAAGAAGGCATGCAGAACAAAGGAATGAACAGCACCACAAAAGAATAACATAACAACAGCAATTAATTCATACCTATTGATAATTACACTGATTGGCAATGGATTAAATGCACCAGTGAAGAGACAGAGAATAGCAGAATGGTTAAGAAAACAAGACCCTTCAATATGTTGCTTGAAAGAGACACATCTTACACACAAAGACGAAAACATCCTCTAACTAAAAGTTAGAGGATGGAAAAAAATATACCAAGCTAATTGCAATAAAAAACAAGCAGGAGGAGCAATACTAATCTCTGATAAAATAAACTTTAAGACAAAAACCAGCATAAGAGATAAAGAAGGACACTATCTCATGATTAAAGTGTCAATTGAGCAAGACGACATAACCATAATAAATATCTATGCTCTCAATGAAAGAGCGCCAAGATATATAAAGCAAACTCTATTACAACTGAAGAAATAGATAAATCTATAATTATAGTAGGAGATTTTAATACGTCACTTTAGAAAAGGGACAGAACAACCAGAAAAAACTTGACAAAGCTACAGAGGAACTGAACAGCACAATCAACCAACTTGATTTCATAGATGTGTACAGCACATTCAATCCAACATCAGCACTACACACATTCTTTTCCAGGGCACATAAAACATTCTCCAGAATTGACCATGTGTTAGGTAGGTTATAAAACAAGCCTCCATAAATTTACACACATCAAAATACGACAAAGCATCTTCTCAGACCACAATGGTATAAAAATACAAATCAACAATAAGACGACCAGGGAAATAAAGTCGAATATATGGAAACTGAATACCACCTGCTGAAAAGTGACTAGATAATAGAAGAAATTAAACGTGAACTCACAAAGTTCATAGGAAAAAAGGCCAGAAAGAAAACACAACATACCCAAATCTTTGGGACATGGCGAAAGTGGTGCTGAGAGGACAATTCATTGAGATAAATGCACACATCCAAAAAGAAGAAAGAATGAAACTAACATATTAAAAGAGCATCTCCAACAATTAGAAACAGACAAACAGAGGGAACCTACAATCACCAAAAGAAAAGAAATAATAAAGATTAGAGCAGAAATAAATGAATTAGAAATAAATGAATTAGGAGAAAAACTATAGAAAGAATATACAGGACAAGAAGCTGGTTCTTTGAAAAGATTAATAAAATTGACAAACCATTGGCAAACCTAACAAAAGAAAAGAGGGAGAAGACATAAAGAACATGCATTAGAAACCACATGGGTAATGTCACAACGGAACCAAAGGAAATCAAAAGGAAAATAACAGAATACTATAAAGAGTTGTACTCCGAAAAAATTGAAAACTTAGAAGAGATGGATACATTTTTAGAAAAACCCGACCTACTTAAACTTAAACAGAGTGCAGTAGAAAACTTGAACAGATCCATAACAAAAGAAGAAATTGATCAGGTCATCAAAAAACTCCCAACCAAAAGAATGCCAAGTCCAGATGGTGTCACTGGTGAGTTCTACCAAATATTCAGGGAAGAGCTGTCACCAGTTCTACTCAAATTTCTTCAGAATGTAGAAGAGGATGGAAAACTCCCTAATGCATTTTATGAAGCAAGCATAACCCACATACCAAAACCAGGGAAACACATCACTAGGAAAGAAAATTACAGACCAATATTCCTCATGAACATAGACGCAAGAATTCTCAACAAAATCCTAGTCAACAGAATTCGAAAACACATCAAAAAAATAATACATCATGACCAAGTGGGATTCATATCAGGGATGCAAGGATGGTTCAAAATTAGAAAAAACGACCAACATAATCCCCCATATAAATAAGAAAAAAGAAAAGAACCACATGATCATATCAATTGATGCAGAAAAGGCATTTGACAAAATCGAACATCCATTCATGATAAAAATGTTCAACAAAGTAGGAATTGAAGGGAAATCCCTCAGCATAATTAAGAGCATATATACAAAACCAACAGCTTACATTATTCTTAATGGAAAGAAACTGAAAGCCTTCCCCCAACAAACAGGAACCAGACAAGGACGCCCTTTGTCACCACTCTGATTCAATATTGTGCTGGATGTCTTAGCCAGAGCTATACGGCAAGACAGGGAAATTAAAGTCATCCAAATTTGCAAAGAGGAAGTAAAACTCTATTTGCAGACGATATGATCCTATAAACAGAAAACCCCAAAGACTCAGTAAAAAAAGCTACTGGACCTCAGTGGAAGATTCAGCAGAGTGGCAGAGTACAAGATCAACATACAAAACTCAGTTGGATTCCTCTATAGTAACAATGACAGTGCTGAAAAGGATATTAGGAAAGCAATACTATTTACAATAGCCGCCCAAATGATGAAATATCTAGGAATAAAAGTAACCAGAGAAACAAACGAGCTACACAAAGAAAACTACAAAACACTACCACAAGAAACCAAAAGAAACTTACAAAAGTGGAAGAATATACCATACTCCTGGAAAGGAAGACTTAACATTGTGAAACTGTCAATACTGCCCAAAGCAATTTACACATACAATGCAATCCCAATACAGATTCCAGCAGCATTCTTCAAAGAGATGGAAAAAAACAATTACAAACTTTATGTGGAAAAGAAAGAGACCCAGGATAAGCAAAGCACTGCTTAAGAAGAAGAATAAGATTGGAAACTTCTCACTCCTTGATTTCAAAATTTGCTACATGGCTAAAGTGGTCAAAACAGACTGTACTGGTACAATGAAATATACATTGATCAATGGAACAGCATCAAGAATCCAGAAATTAAGTCATCCACATACAACCAACTGATTTTCGACAAAGTGCCTATGTATATTGCATGGGGAGGAGATAGTCTCTTCAAAAGATGGTGCTGGCAAAACTGGAAAGAGATATGCAAAAGACTTAAACAAGACTTTTACCTAATGTCTTATACAAAAACCAACTCAGCATCGATTAAAAACCTAAATGTGAATCCCAGAATTATAAAGGCTATCAATGAAAAAATAGGGACAAATGTAAGGGCCCTAATACAGGGCATACACAGACTACCAAACATTTTGAAAACTATACAAACAAAAGTAGACAAAATAGATATTTGGGACATGCTAAAAATTAAAAACTTATGTGCATTAAAAGACTTCACCAAAAGAGTAAAAAAGGGAATCCACAGAATGGGAAAAAATATTTTGCAATGACACATCAGATATGGGACTCATTTCTAAAATATATAGGAAACTACTCTGGTAGCATAGTGGTTACAAACCGGGCTGCTAACCTCAGGGTCAGCAGTTCGAAACTACCAGCAGTTCCACAGGAGAAAGATGAGGCTTTCTGTTCCCATAAAGATTTACAGCCTCGGAAACCCTGCAGAGGGTCACTATGAAACGGAACCAACTCCACGGCACACAACAACAACAACAACAATAACACTTCTATAAGAAAAAGACAACCCAATTAAAAAATGGGCACAGGATATGAACAGATACTTCACCAAGGAGGACTCAATCCAGGCAGCCAACAAACATATGAAGAAATGCTCATGATCACTAGCCTTTAGAGTGATGCAAATCAAAATGACAATGAGATATCATCTCACACCAGCAACAACAGCAAATATAAAACAACTAGAGGACAATAAATGCTGGCGAGGATGCGTAGAGACTGGGACACTCCTACATTGCTGCTGGGATTGCAAAATGATCTAACCACTCTAGAAAGAAGTATGGTTTGAAATAGAAGTACCTTATATTCCAGAAATTCCTCTACTTGGTATTTATCCAAAGAAATACGAGTTATAACATGAGTACATATATGCACACCAGTGTTCATAGCAGCACTATTTACAATAACAAAAAGATGGAGAAAGCCTAAGTGCCCATCAATGGGAAAATGGATAAATAAACTGTAGTACATATACACAATGGAATATTATGCTACCTTGAAGAATAACAAGGAAGCTGCAAGCTACTGCATAACATGGATGGACCTTGAAGACATTATGTTGAGTGAAATTAGTCAGTTACAAAAGAAGAAATACTTATAGGACCATTATTGTAATACATTAAGAAAAAGAACCCACCCTAAAAGGGGAGAAAAATTCTTCGCTCATTACTGTGATGTATG